TCTCCTGAAGCGGTTCAGTGTCTGTCCGTGGAGTCACAGAGCAGCTGAAGCTGGCAGGAGCCTCTACCCCCTTGCAAGCACAGAGCTGAGGAACATTTCAGGAAGGAGAAGTAGATGCTGTAATAGCTGCACCACTCGGATCAGCTGGCAGGTGTTAAACTGCCTCACTAATCTGAGCTGATGGGCACAGATTTGCTGTAAAACCAGGTCTTCTCTCAGTATTCAGCTCCAATCTGTAGTTGCTGCTTTGCTTCTGCAGCTATGAGATTTCCTTGTGTACCCGTAGTAGTTGCTGCTTTGCTTCTGCAGCTATGAGAATTCCTTGTGTACCCATGTGCTTCTTCAATCTCATTTCAGCCTCTCCTTCAAGCCTCTGTGTTTTCCAGCCACCTTCCTTATCTGACAACTCTGCTCCCATTTCTTGATTTCCTGGCACACAGCATCCTCAGATTTGGAGAAGCGTGGGCAGTAGCACCTTCAAGCCTCTGTGTTTTCCAGCCACCTTTTTAATCTGACAACTCTGCTCCCATTTCTTCTTCCTGGCACACAGCATCCTCAGACTTGGAGAAGCGTGGACAGTAGCACAGACTGTGGTGTCAGTCGGCAGGAGATGCCGTGGAGCTTTTGGAGCCCAACTCTAAGGCACTGTCAGGAGGTCAGCAGACAGCATTCACTTGGGGACATGGAGCTGTGGAGCAGTTGGTGTGGAGCAGCCATGGCTTAAGAGCAATATTGTACGATCTTATCCCGTGCACATTTACCATAGAACGGCTGCATGAGCAAACTTCCGTTTTAGATGGGAAGCAAACCAACTTATTTGTGCGCTGTGGGTTCTGTAGGCCCATGCTGTTGCACTGAAGCAGATCACAGAGCACGCAGTCTAGCATATAACAGCCACTTAATACCTTCTTGCAGCTCTGAAATTATTTGTTGAACTCTGTTAAGCAGGTTTATCTGAATTTCTAACAGAGAGGTCAGGCTAAAATCTTGTTCTAATTAGATGTGTGTGTATATACACACAGAACGAGTCATGCAGCTTGGTAATTCCTCCTTGAAGGAAATGAAAGCCCTGACAGCTGCGTGTGTAGAAGATGAGGAAGGGAGAGTTATTAGGTGTTGATTGGGATATCTTGAAATTGCAGTGCTTGACAGACAATAGCTGATTGTTGCAGCAGCAGTTTTATGGCTCTTAATTCATATTGGATAATAGTAAAAAGGGGTGGAAGTGTTCTGTGCCACAATCTGAAGCCGTCGCTTTGCTGACTGTGTGGGCTGTGACACGCACTGGAGCTTGCTTGGGCAGAGAGCAGGGCTGCAGCAGCGCGATAGGAGCGCTGGGGCGGTGGCAGGGTAGGACGGTGTTGTGTCAGCCCCAGCTGGATCTGCTGCCTGCTGATGTGCCTCTCCACAGTCTGTCAGCCTTTCCCCTTGCTGGGGTCAGTTCTGATTCTGGCTTTATCCGATGTGCTGTTCAGAGGTCCTGGGGAGCCTTGGTTTTCAGGTACTTCACACATGGCATTGGAGCAAGGTCCTGGGGAGCCTTGGTTTTCAGGTACTTTACACATGGCATTGGAGTGGTTGTGAGGTATCT